ATATATACATTTTAGAATAAAATTGTGATTTAAAAAAAAAAATAATAAGTATTATGCTCATCAAGGCTACGTTTATTTTATGGAATGTTTTATAAAATACAGTATTAATAGCAATATTGTCAAAAAAATATTTTTCAAATAGTATTACATGTAAAATAACTGTTCTATTTGAATGTATTTTAAAATTGAATTTAGTCCTATGATAGCAAAGTAGAATTTTCAGTAGCCTTTACTCTCCAGTCTATCCAGCCTTATTTTAAATATATAAAAATTTTAGTTTTTAAATACCAAACTAACATTAATTCTATACATGTAAACATGTTTTTTTAGGTTTTGAGAAATTATTGAATTTAAATATATAGAATGAAAGTATGTATACTAGTATCTAACAGCAAGTGTTTGGTTATGCAGGACTCTGTCAGCAAGTTTGTTGCCCAGCTGAAAGAGAGCGGTGTGTTTGCCAAAGAAGTGCGCAGTGCCGGTGTGGCTTTCCACTCCTATTATATGGCCTCTATTGCTCCAGCCCTTCTGTGTGCACTGCAGAATGTGAGTTGGTGAGGCATTGCAGTGTCACAGTGCCCTCTACTGGACATTAGTATCTCAAAACCTCAGCACAGATAGACACTGACTTCCTGTGCGTGTTCTTCTAGGTAATAAAAAGCCCAAGGCCTCGTTCAGCACGCTGGATCAGCACGTCCATCCCGCAGACAGACTGGGAGAGCCCACTAGCGCTCTACTCATCTGCAGAGTACCACGTCAATAACTTGGTCAGCCCTGTGCTCTTTCAGGAGGGACTGAGCTTTGTGCCGGATAATGCTGTGGTAGTAGAAATTGCCCCACATGCTTTACTGCAGGTAACAGGGAATTAACCTTAATACACATGTCTTGAAGATTCAAATGTAGATCCATTTCTATTATTAACATACTCTTGATAAATCTTCAGGCCATCCTGAAGCGGAGCCTAAAACCCACCTGCTCCATCCTCCCCCTAGTGAAAAGAGGACACACCAACAATCTGGAGTTCTTCCTCTCTCATGTGGGCAAAATCTACATGAATGGGTTGGTTTTTGTACTCTTAATTTCCTAGCTGTTTTGACCTCAAATTGTCAGCATTTCCATCAATTTGATGATTGATGCACACTCTCTTGCATCTGCAGAATTAATGTGGACAGTAATAAATTGTACCCAACTGTTGAATACCCTGTTCCGACCGGGACCCCACTCATCTCCCCTCACATTCAGTGGGATCATTCCCAGGTCTGGGATGTGCCCAAGGTAGAGGACTTCCCTGCTGGCTCAGGGGGATCCACCTCAGCCACTGTGTACAATATCGGTGGGTAGTTGTGAAGTTGAAATTAGTGTTTTTCTCATCTTTGCTGTCATGTCATGATTATTTTTGAATGTTTTGTGCAGACATGAACCCAGAGTCTCCTGATTACTACATGATTGGACATTGCATTGATGGTCGGGTGCTGTACCCAGCCACAGGATACCTGGTTCTGGCCTGGAGGACTCTGATGAGATCTCTGGGTGCAGTCATGGAGCATACACCTGTTATATTTGAAGACGTCACCATCCACAGAGCCACCATCCTCCCCAAGACAGGTAAAAGATTTGTTTTCTTTGTACTGTAAGTCTGAGATTCTTTGGTCCTGAAGTTTCTGGTAGTCACTATATCTCACAATGATGACAAATTTCTATCTATCTACTATTGCACTCTTATATGGCTTATTTCTTATTCTGAGGTGGAAAAAATATAAATTATTACTAAAAATGCACGACTGTTTAAAAGTTTGGGGTCAGTAAGATTGTAGTGTACTTCAATATTGTGGACTAAATCTGAGACTAAATAGAACAGATTAGTTGTTAGCTAGTCCTTGTGACTTAGCGTTAACCAGATTGTTTTTGCATCACAGGGTCTGTCCAGCTGGAGGTGCGACTAATGCCCGCCACTAACCGTTTTGAGGTGTCAGAGAATGGAAATCTGGCTGTCAGTGGTGAGTTTCCAGTCAACATGAGACACCATTCACAACTTGTATCATGACGTTTTCGAGTAAAACAAGATATTTGTAAATTGACAAATATAGTATTTAAGACTCATTATCACACTGATATCCTTGTGGTCTCAGGTAAGGTGAGTGTCTTGGAGGATGCTGGACTTGATGCTTTCCATGCTGAGTTGAATAAACCAATGGCTATAGACAAGGAAGATCCTAAACTGCTTTTGAAATCTGGGGACATCTACAAAGAGCTGCGTCTGCGCGGATATGACTACGGAAAGACCTTCCAAGGAATCCTGGAGTCTAACAATCCTGGTAATTCCCCTCAAATGCATCTTAAACTGTCGGTGCCGATAGCCTTGTGGGCAGCGTGCCGACATACAGTGCCGTTGCGCTATGGGCGTCCCGAGTTCGAATCCCAACTCGAGGACCTTTCCTGATCCCAATCCCGATTTTGCTATGGCCAAGACACGATTTGGCCAGTCCTGAGCTCTTTGTATTCTGGTTCTTCCAGGTGACTATGGAAAGCTTCACTGGACAGGTAACTGGGTGACATTTTTAGACACCATGCTGCAGATGATCGTAGTGGGGCTGTCTGGTCGCAGCTTGAGACTGCCTACTCGCATCCGCTCTGTGTGTGTGGACCCCAGACTTCATGAGGAGAGGGTAAACGAGTATGCAGATGACCAGAAAGGTATTAGACATGCCATCTACTTGAAGTCTGATGTAACCTGTCCTAAGTTGAAATGTATCTGACCAAAATTTCTTGTCCTCAGCTGTGGATGTTCATGTTAACCGCTGCCTGGACAACATAACAGCTGGAGGAGTTCAGATCTGTGGGCTTCATGCTACCGTAGCACCCCGTCGCCAACAGCAGCAGACTCCACCCACTTTAGAGGAGTTTGCCTTTGTTCCCTATGTGGACTCAGATTGCCTGAGAACCAGTGAGAAACTTGGAGACCAACTGAGGCATTGCAAAGGCACGTTATGATTTTCATTTCATTGAGAAATGCAGCATGGCATTTTGCGGTAACAATTTTTTATATATGTGTGAAAGAAGTCTTTTTTTGCGCACCAAGGCAGATAAAAAAATACAGTAAAATTGTGAAATATTATTACAATTCAAAAGAACTGTTTCCTATTTTAAGATATTGTGAAATGCAATTTATTCCTGTGATAGGAAAGCTGAATTTTCAGCAGCCTTCAGAAATCATTATAATGTGCTGATTTGGTGTTCAAGAAACATTTATTATTATTATCAATGTTGAAAACCGTTATTGACACTTTTTTTTTTTTCAAGATTTTTTGATAAATAGAAAGTTCAAATGAACAGCAGAATTTTTTTTTCGTAACATTATAAATGTCTTTCGCTTTTGATCAATTTAATGTTTTATATTCATTGTTTTTGTAAAATAGGATGGACCTAAAATGATTTCATTTTTGTCCCCAGTTTTAATTTTCTGGGGTATTTTCTTCTATTTCAGTGGCACTGTACTTACTTTTCCTATGTTGTATTCACAGGTCTAGTACAGCATCTGCAGAGGAAGCTGGCCAATCAGGGAGTGAAGATCTCCATCCCTGGGCTAGAAGGTGCAACAGAGAGCCAGCTGATTGGAGCAGAGGCAGAGAAAGGCCTGTTGCGGTTGCTCTCTGTGCTGTGCGGACTGGAGCTGAACGGAAACCTGCGCTCTGAGCTGGAACAGACGGTGGAGAAGGAGAGAGATTGTCTGCTGCAGGACCCTCTGCTCAACGGCCTGCTAGACTCCCAGGCGTTACGTCACTGCTTGGACACGGCCCTTGAGAACAGCACTCCTGGAAAACTCAAAGTTGTGGAGGTGTGGTGAATTTATTATTTAGGATGAAAATAGGCAGGGGTGGATGACACGGTTGAAGTTCTCAACATGTATTCTTCTCCTTCAGGCTCTAGCCGCCGACGGTCATGTGTTTTCTCGGGCTGTTGGTCTCCTCAATATCCAGCCAATGTTGCGTCTTGACTACACGGCGTCAGATGTCTCCATTGACCAGCTTTCTGCTCACCAGAGCTCCCTGGAAGAGCAGGGCATCTCAACTGCTCAGTGGGACCCTCTTCAGGGCCCAGCAACGGGCGGTCTGGATGGGGCTGACCTGGTTGTGTGTAACTGTGCGACAGGGCACACGGCCAACCCTGCACTTCTGATAGAGAACCTGACTTCAGCTGCGAGGGAAGGCGGTTTTGTTTTGCTTCACACCCTACTGAGAGGAGACACACTGGGAGAGACGGTAGCCTTCCTCACATCTCAAAACAACCAGGAGGGTTTGTTGACACAGGTGTGTGCTTAACTTTAACGTGCTTAAATGAAACATAAATTACATAAATGAAACATTTATTTTAGCTGTAATTGATTTTATATTTAATGAAAATTAAATATACATTAAACATAAATGCAAGTGAATAACAAAGTTGTATTTAAGTAACAACATTACATAACTTGGCATTGTTTTGTCTGTTCTTTTATTTTGTTTTGTCTGTCTCATTGCATCGTTCTCAGGTTCTAAACGGAATTGTTTTTTGTTTTCAGACTGAATGGGAGGAGCTCTTTCAAAAGGCCTCTTTAAATGTGGTCATGCTGAGAAAGTCCTTCTACGGCTCTGCTCTCTTCCTCTGCCATCAGCGCCAACAGTCCCCTCAGGATCAACCGATCCTTATTTTTGTGGACCCTACTGACTATAAATGGGTGGAGACTCTAAAGGTGATTAATAAAGTCAGCATAAAATGAAAATTCACAATGTCTGTTTAGACAATACTTGTTATAGATCTTACTGTGAATTATTCATCCATGTATATGATCCTTTTTTTTTTAATGGAAAGAAGTGACCTTGTAATGTTTCATCAAAAATGTCATAACTCTGTCTTCTGGTGAAAACTTCAGCCTTCTCTCAGGTGGCATATGCAACACTTAGCCAATCATTTAGTCCTCTAACTGCAAGTTTGCATTCATTTTGAGTACAACGCACACATCTCAAAGTCCAATCAGCAACTGATAGATATGCTCAAGTCCCTGCCCTACAATGTTTTTTTTGATAATCCGTCGTCACAATATGGGGGGAAAACATTTGTCACTACTTCGGTTTCATCATGATATTAATCATGCAAACTCATTAGTGGTGTTGCCAAGCCCTCCAAGAACACTGCAATCCCATAACAACAGGCTAAAACCAATCGGCAGACTCATTAAATGAATCCTAATGCATGCCTCTAACTCTTTCTGTCTCCTTTTTTCTCATTAGAGCACTTTAGCTGAGTCATCTGATATCCCAGTCTGGCTCATTGCCACTAAGGGTCATAATGGAGTGGTGGGAATGGTGAACTGCCTCAGACAGGAGCCCGGAGGCAACCGTATACGGTCCGTCCAATTCCTGTGCAATTAGTGTTCCACATATGCTACTGTACTTTTATGTTATTATATTTTTGATGTTACAATTATGCAATTGTTAGGTATTGAATGTTTTGTAGTATAGATGTTTGTAGTATTCATGTACATGGTCTTTTTTCTCCTCTCCAATAGGTGTGCATTTGTTTCTAATCTAAGTAAGGATGCTGAAGTCCCCTCACTTGTTCCTACCAAAAAGGAAATGAAGGCATTACTAAAGAAGGATCTGGTCATGAACGTGTACCGTGATGGACAGTGGGGTGTTTTTAGACACCAGTTGTTAACAAAAGGTAAAAAAGGAAGTCATATAAGACTTTCAGTGACATGCTGACTGATCTGTCTTTGATTGGATAAAGTCTTTTGAGCATGTTGTGATCGTCTTCTGTTCTGTGCATTCATGTTTAGATCTTAGCGAGGAGTTGACAGAGCAGGCCTACGTCAATGTCCTGACTCGCGGTGATCTTTCATCGCTGAGATGGATCGCTTCCCCGCTGCGTCATTTTATCCCATCCAATCCCAACGTGCAGCTCTGCCGTGTTTACTACTCCTCCCTCAACTTCAGAGACATCATGCTGGCCACTGGCAAACTGCCTCCAGATGCCATCCCTGGTTTGTACCCCATCCTGTTTTTGTGAAATCTCGCACGTTAGCTTACCCTATAAAAAGACTTAGGAAAGAGACTCTTCTCGTTTTGTCTGTGCAGGAGACATAGCGCTGCAGCAATGCATGCTGGGAATGGAGTTTTCAGGGCGAGACCCCAGTGGACGACGTGTAATGGGTTTGCTGCCAGCGAAAGGTCTAGCCACCTGTGTGGACGCAGACAAGCACTTCCTTTGGGATGTTCCATCTAGCTGGTGAGAACCTCAGCACCTCTGAATCTGAATGAGACTTCTTCCTCCAAAACTCTCAATGCTAAGTGAAGCTGTGTTTATGTGCAGGACGCTGGAGCAGGCCGCCTCTGTTCCAGTGGTGTACGCCACCGCATATTATTCGCTAGTGGTGCGAGGGCGTCTGAGGCCTGGAGAAAGTGTGCTGATCCATTCAGGCTCTGGAGGGGTGGGACAGGCCGCTATTGCTATTGCACTTAGTATGCGCTGCCGAGTCTTCACAACTGTCGGTAAATGACACTTTTGCTTCCTTAAGAATTTAAAAATGTGTTTTGTAATTAATGAACACTGGTAGACTTAAAGCTCTTTGCTCGTAAATTAACTCCAAATACAGCTACACAAAAAGACGGAAATGTGTAAAATGAAATGTGTTAAATGAAAACTAATTTTGGTTTCAAATTGTCAGTAAAAAAACTAAATTTGGTATATCACTAATTGAAACATGTCTACAACACAGTCAATGAATAACTACAACATAAAGAATTCAACAAAGGGCAGTTATACACATTTAAATTTCATGTTTTAATTAATATATAAAATCTTTAATTTTCTTGCATGTGACACTTGTCATTTTCGTTGACTAAATTAGATGCTATTGTAGTCAGAGTGAAAAGGGCTATAATCAATTAATACGGCGCAATATCGTAAATTATTGTGTACATTTAGTGGAGATTTTCATCAAAAGACAAAAGCTATGACTAAAACACCTGCTTAAAAATTAACACTGCTGACATGTATCTCATTTTGATTCACAGGTTCTGGAGAGAAGAAGGCGTACCTGCAGGAAAGATTCCCACAGCTTACAGCGGAATCTTTCGCTAATTCTAGAGACACCTCATTTGAACCGCATGTAATGCTCCAGACTCAAGGCAAAGGTGAATAGACTGCATTACAATGACTCTGAATACATAGCAGCATTGCGTCTAAATTGCTGTGGATTGAGGTATTAAACCACCATATGTATGTGTGTTTTTTCAGGAGTTGATTTGGTACTAAACTCCCTAGCTGAAGAGAAGCTGCAGGCCAGCTTGCGTTGTTTGGCCAGACATGGGCGTTTCCTGGAGATCGGCAAATATGACCTTTCTAACAACACACCACTAGGTGCGTCCCAGATGTACAACAATTTCTGAATCAATCAAAAATCATCTTAGATCTATTATTCTCTTACTTTTACACTTCCATGCATTAAATGTAATTGTCCAATTGTTCTTGGTTCAGGTATGGCTCTGTTCCTAAAGAACGTGGCCTTCCACGGCATACTGCTGGATGCTTTGTTTGAGGAGGGGAACAGGGAATGGGAGGAGGTATCTGAGCTTCTGAAGAAGGGAATCGCTAGTGGTGTCGTTCAGCCATTACGTACCACTGTCTTTGAGAGGAACCAGGTGGAGGATGCCTTCCGCTACATGGCTCAGGGCAAACACATCGGCAAAGTCCTGCTGCAGGTAAGGGCGGTGGTTGATTTTAATGAACCTGCATAAAAAAATGAAATATTGCATGGTAGATTTCTCATCCTTTACTGTGCTAATTGCTGCACCTCTCAGGTACGTTCAGAGGAGACGAGCAGCACTGTTCCTGCAGCCTCTGCTCTTTCTATTCCCGCTATCTGCCGTACCTTCTTCCCTGCCTCTCTCTCATACATCATCACGGGAGGTCTGGGTGGTTTCGGCTTGGAGTTGGCCCAATGGCTCACTGAGAGAGGTGCTCGTAAACTGGTGCTGACATCACGTTCTGGCATCCGCAATGGTAAATATGCACTAGGATGTGATCAGTTTTCATGTCAGTGTTGTTGTTAACTAAAATGGTAAATATGCACTAGGATGTGATCAGTTTTCATGTCAGTGTTGGTCAGTGTTGTTGTTAACTAAAATGGTAAATATGCACTAGGATGTGATCAGTTTTCATGTCAGTGTTGGTCAGTGTTGTTATTTAAATTTAACTGAATTTATGTAATATTTATATTTATATTTGATTTGATTTATTTAGTTTCCTAGGCAATAATAAGTATAAATTAAAGCTAAAACAGAAATATTCAAACATAAGAAATGAATAAAAAAGCAAAAGCACATAAATTAGTAAAATTATTAAAAATCTTTTTCATTAGTTGAAATAAAACTGAAATAAAATTTAAAAAATTAGATAAACTTGAACATTTTGAAAATTTAAAACAATGCCTTTGCAATTAACTGAAATAAAATAAGTTTGTTGAAGTACTAAAATTACTAAAAACTGAAATAAATATATAATAAATAATACTGAAATGAATAAAAATTAAAACTAAATAAAAATAATAAAATTGACAAAAGCACTAAAGTACTAAAAATATTATTAAAATTTTCATTAAATATAAAATCAAATACAGCTAAAATAAAATATAAACATTAGATTAAAAATTTTATTATTTTAATTAAATTAAATTCAAAATATTAATAAATACTGTAATAGTATTTCAATAATACTAAAGTAACACTGATGTTGGTCAGGGCAACACACTAAAATGTTTGTTGTCTTGACAGGTTATCAAGCCAAGCGTGTTCGGGAGTGGCAGGCCATGGGCATCCAGGTCCTCGTGTCCACTAGTGATGTCAGCTCAATGGCAGGGACGAAGCGTCTCATCAGTGAGGCCTGCCGCTTGGGTCAAGTTGGTGGCATCTTCCACCTTGCCATGGTAATATTCAGTTGTTGCTTTCAGTTCACTTTCTTTGTAGTCAAATTACGGACAAATACATAACTGATGTTTCTCTCTATCAACTAGGTCCTCAAAGATGGCATGCTGGAGAATCTGACCCCACAGCACTTCATTGACGTCAACAAACCCAAATACGGTGGAACCATCCATCTAGACAGGTAGGGAATGGTTTGACTGAATCTCTCCTTTCTTCAGCTGTTCACTTGTGGCTTATTACGAATTTTAGTAAATGATTCCTTTTCCACAGCGTGACTAGGCAGAAGTGCCCAGAGCTTCAGCACTTTGTGGTGTTCTCCTCAGTCAGCTGCGGCCGAGGTAACGCTGGCCAGAGCAACTATGGCTTCGCCAACTCCACCATGGAGCGAGTGTGCGAGCAGCGCCGACACGACAACCTGCCGGGCCTGGCCATACAGTGGGGCGCCATTGGAGATGTGGGTGTCATTTTGGAGACCATGGGTGGCAATGACGCTGTAATTGGTGGCACGTTGCCGCAGCGCATGTCTTCCTGTTTGGAAGTACTGGATAGGTTCCTGTGTCAGCAGCGGCCTGTAATGTCCAGCTTTGTGTTGGCGGAGAAAGTGGTAGTCGCTAAAGGAGAAGGAAGCGGACAGAGGGACCTGCTGGAGGCTGTGGCTCATATTCTGGGTAAAAGCTCAGACCTGAAATGTTTAAAGTCTGATAAGCTGCACTTTTTTTCATGCTTTTTAAAGTTACAATGTCGCCTCTTTCTCTCAGGTGTGCGTGACGTGAGCAGTCTGAATGCTGACACCTCATTGGCTGATCTGGGTCTCGATTCGCTGATGGGTGTTGAGGTTAAGCAGACACTGGAGAGGGACTATGACATTGTAATGGCAATGAGGGAAATCCGACAGCTAACCATTAATAAGCTACGGGACCTTTCCAGCCAATCAGGAGGAAAAGAGGGTGAGTGTGTGATTTGTCAATATCTATAGCCTGATGTTTTGTTTTGTTTTTTCCAGAACTTATTTTGTTATCCACAGTATCTTAAATAAGATATTGGGAAGTTGCTAAAAGGTTAAATAAATTGATAAATTCAGTAGATGTAATTTCATGTTTTGTAAGATACATTGAATTATTTGGAGAATAATGCATCAAATTCTCTCATTCTGTTTCTCTCAGAGTCCCGAGCTGCTCCTGCAAAGCGATCTGGTGCTCAAGCTCTGCTGGAGTCAGATCTGAGCCGGATGCTGGTGAACCCAGACAGCCCCACGGTGGCCCCACTGAACGAGGTCCAGAGTGCCGAAAGGCCCTTATTCCTCGTTCACCCCATTGAGGGCTCTGTGTGTGTGTGTGTGTGCGTGTGTGTATTATCTATTCATAATAATTATTAATATCTTTGATTTTAAACTTTACTGTAAGTGATATTACTGGATAGTGAGTGTTTGCCTTTTGTGTGGTTTAAATTCCTTTATCAGTAATATTTGTTTAAAATGCAATTATGTTTAATGATTGTTATTTTATTTATTAATTTAATTAATTAATTTATTTGTTCAAATTCAGTCCTGTTATATATTTTTCTGTTTTATGTGTTTTGTCCATCTGTAGCCGCTCCTCTAGACAGTATCCAGAATCTTGCTGCTTACTACATGGAGTGCGTGAGGCAGGTGCAGCCAGAGGGGCCGTATCGCTTCGCTGGCTACTCGTTCGGTGCTTGTGTGGCTTTTGAGATGTGCTCACAGCTGCAGGCAGCCAAATGCCCTGTGGAATACCTCTTCCTGTTTGACGGCTCACACTCTTATGTGGCAGCTTATACACAGGTGCAGTAAAAGAGCTCAGAAAACACAAAAACAGAAAAATGTGCTATGCTAGGTCACATGGTCATAATTTCTGTTATTTCTCTGACAGAGTTACAGAGCCAAACTGACCCCTGGCAAAGAGTCCGAGGCCGAGACTGAAGCTCTGTGTGCTTTTATCCAACAGTTCAGTGGCATTGAGTACAACAAGGTACATGAACAACTGTTACTTTGTAATTCATTCTTGAAAAGATTTTTGATCCTTTATTCTTTAAATTTATTTAAAATGGTCTTTTCCAAATAGACATTACTTAACTCATTACAGTTCAGTCAGTGCTAAAGTTAATGCTGTCTCTTTAATCTTTCACACAGCTGTTGGAGACATTGTTACCTCTGTCAGACCTGGAGGCCCGTGTGAACAAGGCTGTTGATCTGATCACATCCAGCCATAAGAATGTCAGCCGAGATATGCTCCATTTTGCTGCTACTACATTTTACCACAAACTGAAGGCCGCCGACCGCTATGTTCCAGCTTCCAAGTATCACGGCAATGTCACCCTTTGCAAAGGCATCGTTTTAAATTTTCAAAACGTTAAAGTTTATTATTTAATTTATTACTTTCATTCAGCAAGAACACATTAAAATGATCAAAGGTGACAGTTAATGCTTTATCCACACAAAAAATATAAATAAATAAATAATAATAATAATAATTATTATTATTATTATTTATTTATTTATATTTTTTGTGTGGATAAAGCATTAACTGTCACCTTTGATCATTTTAATGTGTTCTTGCTGAATGAAAGTAATAAATTAAATAATAAACTTTAACGTTTTGAAAATTTAAAACGATGCCTTTGCAATTAACTGAAATAAAATAAGTTGAAGTACAAAAATGACAAAAAATTGCAATAATTATATAATAAATAATACTGAAATAAAAATTAAAGCTAAATAGAAAATTGAAAATAATAAAATTGACAAAAGCACTGGTGCTGAGGTTTTATTATTATTATTATTATCACAGTAGAATGTTTTTTTAATATATTTTTGTCACTGTCACTTTTGATCTTTTTTTTATGTGTTCTTAAGTAATAATTATTTTTAAAATGACCCAAAAGTTTGAACAGTAGTGTATTTTAACTTATTTTTCAAATAAGAAAAAATTTAAAGAAATAATATATTTATTACTTTTAATAATATTACTGAATACTTTTGACTTTTATATTGTGCTAATTCTTCAAGCTATATCAGGAATATTTGTTATTATTATTATTATTATTTGATTTTTTTTTTTTTTATCAAGAAGAGGGTTCAGCTAGGTCAATTTCATGAAAAAAAAAAGATTTTACATATTTCATACATTAAAAATCAAACTAGTTTTATTTTGAAAATAGTAATACTCACAATCAAAATAAAATCTTTAACAAAGCAATGATAAAAGTGACAAGAACTTATTTGGGTGGGGTGGGGGGGGTCTTTGAGATCTAGCTCTAAACATGGTCTGTGTATGGAAAGCATAATTGCACAGGAAGTGCTTCTGAATCTGGGAAGGAGATCATGCTGAGAGAAAGTCTTGTTGCTATAATGCATCCCTGCAGTGTTAATAATTGGATTATGTTATGTCTGCAGGTGTGTGATGGGAAGGTGTCAGTTCATGTGATCGAGGGAGATCACCGGACCTTCCTAGAGGGCGAGGGAGTGGAGTCCATCTCAGGCATCATCCACAGCTCACTGGCTGAACCCAGAGTCAGCACCAGAGAGGGCTGAACCTTCCCGGTCTTTTTTCACCCTTACTCTGTTGCTTTCACCTGACAAACCAAAACTGTGTCCCGGCGTATTAAAGCATGCACGTTTGTCATCTGTTCATACCTCTCACCCACGCAACAGCCTTTTCCTTCTCATCTTTCTCATTCTCTACAAATCTCAATTGCTCATCACCCTTTACTTCTTTATCCCACGCTGGGAACAAAAACGCATGTCTGTTTATTTGCTTTATCGGTTAAGATTCAATCAGCTGTTCATTGTCTTCTATAAATCATCATATGTTACTGTGAAAACTAAAATGTCACTGGTTTCTAGCATGAGAGCATAGAGCTGTAGTGATCACTGACACTGTCTAACCTGCATAATAAGTCTGCTAAAGGTTTCGTCAATCCAACCTAATGATGCGGACTGCAAGTCAAGGTCACTTCACTGTATTCAAATCCACATATTAGCTGTTGGGATTCTAGTTACGCACATAGCTGAGATTGTTGTTTACCAGTTGTGAGCGGTTACTGATGCTTTAGCAGTACTAGTTCAAATCGCTTATGTTTACTGTAGCGTTGTTCTTCTTTTCTGAATGATATACGCTGGTTCTCTTGTTGTTGCTGAACATCTAAACTTATTCTGAAATAACTGTGCAATTGATGTTTATTTAAAAGGGAAGATATGTATGAAAAAGAACATTCCTGGATGAGAGCAACCATTAAGAGAGCTGGTTAATTGACTAGTTAATTTTGAAGTTAGAGGAGTTAATTATAAAATATCTGTTGCTTTAAAAATATATTGCACAAGCTTAAAGCAAAATGCAAATCTGACACCGATGTGAAATGCTCGGCAATCCAGAGTGATTCATCTCGGCTCGTACTGTAATGATGCTTCGCTGCTTAACTGTAGACCAATAACTGGAGTATTAATATTGTATTGACGTTTCTAATCCTCTTTTTGAGGATAGTACCAACATTCCGGGTGTCTCTCAGATGTATATGTTCTCCCAAAATGCTCTGTAATTGATTGACTGCTTTAATACTTCAGATGTTAGTTGTAGTAAATTCTTGTGACCAGGTCCACATTAAACACAAGCTCAGTTCATAGTGCAAATCACATCATATTTTAGTCAGAATGAAGTGTTATTTGGTGTAGGATGTATGAACGTTTTCATGGCAGTGACGTGATTACGGACTTTCTCTTTCTGTCACAACAGAGGAAAATCTTCTGTTTGAAAGCAAATCACTACACATTTCTGAGACTAATTGTTTAAGTCAGTGACGAATTGTGATTTCTTTCAATGTTTAGAGCAAAGCTAGAGAGTTCATTTTTCTATTATTGAAATGTTTTTTTTCTTGTGGTGTAATTTTTCCAGTATTTATTGTACTAGTCCAAATAAAAAGCTATTACTAACATACACATCCAGAGTCTACTAGTTTGTTTTTCTCCAGCCATATTAGATGTTCTGGTTCTACAGATTTAATGATTACGCAACAAAGATAAGCTAAAAATTATGATAATCCAGTTTGTTGATCAGTATAAGTTATCAAATAATTTTATTATAAACAAAAGTGTAACAAAGTATACTCATTAATTAATAAAAAAGTGGCCCCTTTGAAGACAATTGATTTTTAAGCAGCTGCTGTTTAATACTCTTTTTCTTGCTTCAGAGTCTCATAAAGTAAAAAAGAAAAACACTTGAGCTTTAGAATCCAAAATAATATTTACAAAAAGAAAATCAAAATCACAAACCACTAAGGGTTTCCCATAAATCCATTTTCACGCATCAGTTTTGCAGTTGCACTCATGCGGAGTATAAAGGCACAGTGTGATCTGAGTGGGCATGCATAGAGGATCAGAGCACATGACCAAAGAAAGGGATTTCACAAACTGTCAAATTATTTACGCACGTAGCAAAGCATACAGAGAAATCTTGCAGAAGTACTGAATGTCATCTGGTAATGCCTCTTTGAAGATGCAAGTGAAAATGCAATGCAGCAATAAGAGATAATGCTTTGAGATTGTCATCGGGATGTTTGTAAGACTGGAACGTTTGGTTGTTTCATGTAAGGCTTGATACTGTGTCTTCTAGGCCTTTCGCAATAATCAATTACTATTTATTCAGGTTTTTTAAGGTATCTAATATTTTGATAATTTCTTTGATCTAAATATTCTTAAAAATCAAAAGTTTGTTGTCATTTGGAAGTGTGCAGGCCATCTTGCATTATTATGCTGTTACATTATGATTATATATTCAGTGGCATAAAATGGTCTTTAAAATGACAATAATATCGCTTATCGCAATTATCTCTGGGGCAATATATCGCACAACAAAAAGTTGTTATCGTGACAGGCCTAGTGTCTTCCACCATTTTCCATCTATCCCTGAGGTTTTTTTAATGTTCATCTTCATCTTTTGAATCACTGCTATCGCCCAATCCCAGATCTTCAATGTCGTCATCATCAGGATAATCTTCTTCTGCCAAACGTCGCTGTAACTCTTCAAGACCCAAGAAGCGCTTCAGAAGTGCAGCAAGTGCCTCCACATCACTGAACGTAAGAAAAATGGTAATAATATGCTTAACTGTCAAGCAAATAATGTCACATTGCAAAATAAATGAATGGCGTAAAAATACTTTGGTGTGATTAATTTATTAGATTGCTTTTGTTATACTTCTTTTACTGTTTTTATTTCTTGTAAAGTTTCTTTGAGTACCCTGAAAAGTGCTTATTTTATTACAAAAAAGGGTTGTTTTTTAAATATAAAAATATATTTATATTGCTATTTATCGTTACAATTTAAAATAACTATTATCTATTTGAATATATTTTAAATGGTTTATTTATTCAGCAGCCAATCCTCCAGTCTTCATTTTAAATCATTGTAATATACGGATTTAGTGATCAATTTTTAATAATGGTTCTTATTATTATTATCAATGTTGAGAAATGTCTTTGCTGCTTAGTATTTATGTGGACCTCTTTTCAGGATTCTTTGAATGGAAAATTTCAAAAGAACAGCATTTATTTGACTAGAAATTGTTGTATTATT